AGAATTGGGATTGCCAGCATGTACCAACCTGGAACTCCTATGCTGACAAGGTTGACCTTGAACTCACAAGAGCTCCACCTACTTCTGCTTCCCAAGTGCTGGGATTAAACTTGTGCGCAGATTTCTTAGTTCCAGGTCAGCCTGCTTTAAAGAGCAAGTTCTAGGACAGCTAGGGCTGTTACACAGAGAAACTGTCTTGAAAATTCAATAAGTTAAAATAACATTGAGGCCTGATTATGAGGTGAAATGTATATGTTAGAATGATACAGTTGCAGAAGAGTTTGACAATAAAGAATGTCATGTGTACTTTATTTTAGAATAAAGAAAGCAGAAAATTAGCCAGGTGGTGGTGGCGCACGGCTAATAGGCAGTGGTTCTCTGTGACTCCTAGGCCAGCTTGGTTTACAGAGCAAGTTACAGGACAGGCTCCATAGCAACAACAACTGAGAAACCCTGTCTGGAAAAACAAAACAAAACAAGAAAATAGATTTCTTTCATTTACAAAATAAAGTCTGTGCTTTCAAGAAAGTAATCATTTGCCCTTCTATCATAATACTGTAATTTCCTTTCTAGAATCATTTTATATAAGTAGTGATGTACATAATTTGTTGTTGCTTTTTGAAATAGGACTTCTGTACATAACTCAGGCTGGTTTAGAACTTAGTCTTCCTGTTAGGCTAGCTCATCTAGCCTAATATTTGTGTCCCTATAGTTTATTTTTTACATGTCACCACAGTTCTAGAAAGAAGTGTGACTTAGCACATGTACAAAGATTTTGTGCTCATGCCTATAAAGAGTGTAAGGTGTTTGTGCCTTAGCTGCTGAATGACTTGTTTCCCCCTGCCCAGGGTATTTACAAATAAAGTACACAATAGCTCTAAAGGGCTAACTGGTAAGAATAGTTTTTGTAGATGGAAGAGAGAAAAGGAAGCACACACCTCTTATCCCAAGAGTAGAGAGGCAGGGGCAAGAGAGAGGATAGCAAATTTGAGGCCAGTTAAGCCACTTGAAGAGACCTTGTCTCAAAATGAAACAAAAAACAAAGCTAAGGGATTGGGAAATGGTTCAGTGAGAGCTTGCTACGCAAGCACAGTGACCTTAGTTCAGATCCCAGAACCTGAATAAATAGTCAGGCATGGTTGTTCATCGCTGTAACCTCAGCATTTGGGGCTGGGGACAGGAGGATCCCTGGGCTTCACAAGCTGCCAGTCTAGGCAGAAGAGCAGTAGTGGAAGATGCCCAGAGTCTCTTCTGGACTACATTTACACAGAATGTACATACACAGACATGGGGGTTGGGCAGATAGATAAGCAACCATCTTAAATGCTTGTAGAGGTAAGTTTCTGTCCTGCCTTGTCCTGCAGTCATTTAGTCCCAAATAAACACACCAAGGCTTATTAATTATAAACTGTTTGGCCTATTGCTCGGTCTTATACTAACTAGCTTTTACAAATGAAATTAACCATAATTCTTATCTATGTTTAGCCACATGGCTTGGTACCTTTTCTCAGTAAGGCATTCTTTTTTGTTTGTTTTGTTTTTCGAGTCAGGGTTTCTCTGTAGCTTTGGAGCCTGTCCTGGAACTAGCTCTTGTAGACCAGGCTGGTCTTGAACTCAAAGATCTGCGTGCCTCTTCCTCTGAGTGCTGGGATTAAAGGCGCATGACTCCATTTGGCTAGTAAGGTATTCTTATCTTGCTTCCTCTGCATCTGGCTGGTGACAGTGTCTCTGCCTTTCCTCTTCCCAGAATTCTCCTAGTCTGGTGGCCCTGTCTATACTTCCTGCCTGGCTACTGGCCAATCAACATTTTACTAAACCAATTTGGTGAAGAACAAAAACACTATTCACATCAAATTTTTAGATTTAATAATTTTATATGTATAAGTGGTTTACCTACCTGCATGTATGTATGTGGACCACAAGTGTGCCTGGCCTGCAGAGGTCAGTAAAGTTGGTCAGATCAGATCTCTTGTAACTGGAGGTATAGATGATTGTAAACCATCATATTAGTTTTGCTGAATCCCAGTCCTTTATTGAGAGTGTCACATGGTCTTATAGATAATCCATCTCTCCAGTGCCTAAAGCTGGGTTTTTGAGTGGAAAAACTTTATTTGCACGTCTGCATAAATTCAGTATTTAAGCCAGACATCATAGCCCACACTTGGAATCCAAGCTCTTGAGAAGCAGAGGCAGGAGGATTGCTATAAGTTCTAAGTCAGCTTGATCTTTATGAGTTCCAGCCAGCATGAGCTATAGTGTGAGAAGCAGATCTTGGTAGTTTCTGTTTAGTTTAAATTTTTATGGCCTACTGAATTTGATTAGGATTACTTATAGGAGCTTAGATAAGAGGTTATTTTTACAAGAGCTTGGGTGATTTGCCAGTGGCTACACTACTGGAAGAAATCTCTTTTTCTTCCCCAACAGCCATTAACTGTGTATAAATCCTGTAGGAGTAGTATGGCCTCATGAGTGTTAACAGGATCATTCTTGTTCAGGTCTTCTGCAGGTAATCAAAAGCAGCTGAGAGAAAGTTCAAGGATATATCAGCCAACAGCCATCTCCTGCCTGTAAGACAGCACTTTGACAACACTCTGTCCTCTCTTTCAGCCCTTTCCTTCTTTTCTCCCCACCTTGTTGCTCCTTGAGCTTTTGGGGGTTGATGCAGATGCCCTGTTTAGTGTTGAGCATTCAGCCCTTATTTATTCCCAGCACTTTCACCAGTATGAGAGTCTTTGCAGTAATGGCTACCCATTGGAAAACAGTTTTGACGGGTGGTGGTGGTGGCGGCATATGCCTTTAGTCCCAGCACTTGCTCCCAAGTGCTGGAGAGGCAGGAGGATCTCTAAATTCCAGGCCAGCTTGGTCTACAGAGTGAGTTCCAGGACAGCCAATGCTATCACACAGAGAAACCCTGTCTCCAAAGCAAACACAACCCCCCCAAAACAAAACAACAACCACAACCAAAAAAAAAGAAAAGAAAAGAAAAAAAAAAATTCTTTTGGTCACACCAAAAGGTTAGAAGGCAATTTGATAGATGCATCATGTCTGTTTATCAGAACAGCAGTAGCTTCCCCTCTCCAGCCTATGACCTCATGTGCTATAGGCCTGTAACAGTTATGCCTCTTTTTCATTGCTGGCAGGTAAGTAGTGTAGCGCACAGGGACTCCATAGCTGAATAAGACTGTAACAAGTCTTCCCCATCAGCCAGGATAGCACCCTTATGGGACTGTGAAATCTAGCCAGTAGGGAAGAAGCTTCCAACTTAGTTATAACTTGACCCCCCCTTCCCCCCTCCACACACACACCCCAAAGTATGTGGTGTATTTATTAGTAGTGTCTATACTGTTCTAATGGGCATCCAACTTCCATGGCAATAGCCTGTATTGTTTGGGAGCTACAGGGGTGGTCTTACTCACATCTAGAGAAAGAAGGACTACCTTGGCACTAGGATTTTCATTCTATAACCTTGTGGCTTATGGGAATGGCTTTTCCACCCACAGAGGATACTTCCACTTAAGATACTTATTTATTATCACATCATTTGGTTTTAATTTTTTGAGACAGGGTTTCTCTGTGTAAACAGCTGGCTGTCCTGGAACTCCCTTTATAGACCATGTTGGCCTCAGACTCAGAGATCTGACTGCCTCTGCCTCCCAACTGCTGGGAGTAAAGTTGTGTGCCACCACCATTCAGCTTGTTTGAAATTTTAAATTATGTATGTGTATATGATGTGTGTGAGACAGTGTGTATGTTCATGGCTCATGTGGAGATCAAAGGGCAGCTTTGTGAAAAGTTGATTTCTTTCCACCTTCACATAGGAATCTGGGTCTCAAACTCAGAGTTGTCAAGCTTTGTGGCAAGTGCATTTATCCATTGACCCATATTGCTGGCTGTATTAATTTATTTTTCATACTAGTATAGCAGTGCTGGTTGGCTTAGCTATCTACAAGTGAATGAGGAGGCAATACTCAGTCCAAGATAAAGGTTTTGTACTCAGTCATATGATAAAACAGATTTTTTTTTGCCAGATAATGCAATCTTTTTCATAGAAATATTCTAATCTACCTGGGCGGTGGTGGTGCACACTTTTAATCCCATCAGAGGCAGGTGAATCTCTATGAGTTCGAGACCAGCCTGGTCTACAGAGAAACCCAAAAACCAGGAAAAAAAAAAAAGAAGAAATATTCTAATCTGTTCTTGTATATTCTTTTAAAAACTATTTTGGGACCTGATGTGGAAATATGGGGTAATTGAAAAGATACTATGAGAGTTGAGGTTAGAAGACTTGACTTAAGGGCTGGAAAGATGGCTCAGTGGTTAAGCATACTATCTCCTCTCTCATAGGATCTGAGTTAGGTTAGGCTCTCAGCACTCTCAAACTCCAGGATAGCTAATACACTTCTCTGTCCACCACAAGCAGCATGCATTCTTGTGGTACATGTAATATACTTGCAAGCAAGCAAAATACTTAGATACATAAAGTAAAAATAATTTGGGGTGGGGGGCAGCTTTTCAAGACAGGGATTTGCTGTGTAGCCCTGGCTGTCCTGGAGTTCTCCCTGTAGACCAGGCTGGCCTTAAATTCACAGAGATCTGCCTGCCTCTGCCTCCCGAGTGCTGGGATGAAAGGTGTCACCTCTGCTTAGGCTTGTGCTTTATTTTTTGTATTAATAAGAAGCTTGGTATGATTATACACTCCTATAGTCACAGTATTCTGGGAGCTGAGGCAGAAGATTAGGGTTAGGCTAGATTGGGCTGCATATAACAAGATCCTTCCTCAAATAAGTAAAAAGAACAAAATAGTCCTTGGCTTTTCTGCCCTGGAGAGACTGGAGAACAGTGTCAGCTTCAGTGACTCAGTTTTGCTAAGTGTTCCTGCACTTTTATTTCTTCTTCATCTAGAAGGCATTGATTGTACTTTAGATTTTGATTCTCTTGAAAATAACTGATGATGAGAGCCTCTAGAAATGTTTTTCTATTTTTCATTCGTAGTGTTCATGTAAACTTTTCTTTTTCCCTAACTGGCAGTTGCAGTCGTGCAGAATGGCGGACCTCAGTCTTGTAGATGCATTGACAGATCCACCTCCAGAGATTGAGGGAGAGATAAAGCGAGACTTCATTGCCACACTGGAGGCTGAGCCCTATGATGACACTGTGGGAGAAACTGTGGAGAAGACTGAGTATATTCCTCTCATGGATGGTGATGAGAAAATTGGGAACCCAGAGTCCAAAAAGAAACCATGCTCAGACACTAGCCAGGCTGACGGTAAGTGTTTAAGCTAAAAGGCGTGCATAGGTTCAGAATGCAGATTGGAGGTATAACTTGTCGCTTGAAGGCTGTCTTACAAATCAAGAAGTTTACATTGTCCTTTGTCAAATCAGTGTTGGTGAAGCTAGAGATGACTTTTGTAATGTTTCATCTACTGTCTCACCTGTTTTCTAATTTCTTCTATTAACATTCTTGTTGTTAATTTTATTTAAGCATACTTTTGTAAAGTTAAATACATTAAATTTATATTTAAATTTATATTCCAACTTATATTGGAATCAGGTTGTTGTCTGGAGTAAGACACAGTTAAAGCCTTTAAGAAAGGTTTACAGTTCTGTGAGGCAGTGTTGGCACACGCCTTTAATCCCAGCACTCCAGAGGCAGAGTGCATCTCTGTGAGTTCGAGGCCAGCCTGATCAACAGAGAGAGTTCCAGGACAGCCAAGGCTACACAGAGTAACAAAACAAGAACAAACAAACAAACAACAAAAAAAAAAGAGTAGAGGTCTGAGGTAGAAATATTGAAAGTTTGAGGTGAATTTGAGCTTGTGTCCACAAACCAAAATGAAACAGAACTGAATAACACATCATAGGATAGCGACAACCTGAGTGGGGAAGTGTCTGCCTTCTAGAATAGTTGTATAAAATTGATATTTTTCATTTTATTTTCTGATTGGATTTATCGATAATTCTGTGAATAGTTTTGAGTTTGAAAGTAGGGATTAAATTTCCTTATGAGACAATAGAAGGATGGAGTGTAGCTCACATAGTATGTGAAGCTCTGGTGGGGTTTGGACCCCACAGAAGTAGGCCTGGCAGCACCTACACCTGTCATCCTAGCTGTTGGAAGGTGAAGACAGAAGATCAGACCTTCAGGGTTTGAAACTTTTGCTTCACCTGTCAGGTTCCAAGACTGAGTTACACGTGACTGTATAAAAGAGACGAGAGATGGGGTATGGAGGAGAGAGATGTTTCTTTCTGTGTGAGATAGGGGTGTGTGTGTGGGCTAGGGGACAGCGTTGGCTGTTGTTTCACAGGCACCTTGGTGCATTCCAAGTAGAAAACAGAGGACATTTTACGGGGACCAGTTTTTTCCTTTTGTCTCGTGGATTCTGGAGATTAAACTCAGGTTGTCAAGTTTGGTGACAAATGCCTATCCCAATTTAGCTATCTCACTGGGCCAGTTTTTGTTGTTATTTTTTTCAACAAGGTGCTTCACTGGCTTGAAACTCACCAAATAGCCTAGATTGGTAAGCCTTAGAAGTTTGCCTGTTTCTACCCACCCCCTCAGCACTGGGATTATAAGCTCATACCACCACATCTGCTATTTTGCTTTTGTTCTCGGCATCTAACTCAGGTCCTTGCTTTCAGTCAAGCAAATTACCAACTAATATGTCTCCCTAGCATCCTAGTTTTCAGCTATCATTTTCATGTTGTTGATGTGGGAGTGATAAATAACTTTTTTTTTTAAGATTTTATTTATTTATTATGTATACAACATTCTGTCTCCATGTATGCCTGCACACCAGAAGAGGGCACCAGATCTCATTACGGATGGTTGTGAACCACCATGTGGTTGCTGGGAAATGAACCCAAGTCCTCTGGAAGAGCAGCCAGTGCTCTTAACCTCTGAGCCATCTCTCCAGCCCGATATATAACTTTTGACTTTATATAACCTGGTGGCTTTATGGGGGAAGACATATACCCCATCAGGTGAAGAAATGAGAGTATGAAATCTTATCATGTTTGTATAAATATTGCTCCAAGAAAAAATTGGATATTTTAATGGAAAATAGTTCACCATGGTTCTTTGACTGACTCACAGTTGAAATAAAGGAAATTGAGAAGGATGGAAGGAAATGGTAAGACCTAACTGTGGTAGTAGCTAATGCTCCTTCTACCCCCACTAACTGATACTCCTCAGAGTTTAGTTGAAGAAGCTTGTTTCTTTTTATTTTCTGTTTTTTTTTTTTATAGCTGTTTGATGGCTCTTCAGTCTGGGACTAATCTAGATAGATAAGGACAGGGAAGTAGTAGAAATAGTTTTTCTTGTTGTGCTTTATCTTTTTTGGGGGAGGAGATGCTGGCTGGCCTCCCAACTCACAAAGCTCCTTCTGCCTCTGCCTCTCTAATACTGGGATTAAAAGTGTGCACCATGACACCTGGCTGTACTTCATCTAGAGTGATTTGATCAGTATAATAATTAACTTGTCTGCCTGGGCAGTAGTGGACCTCACCTTTTAATTCCAGCAACCGGAAGGCAGAAGCAGGTGGATCTCGGTGGGGGTACCCTGACTATGTAACCTATGCAGGCTGGAGAGGAGGGTGTCCTAGCCTCTGGAGCTAGAATTTTAGGCAGTTGGAAGCTCTCCTACATGGGTTCCAAGAACTGACAAGTCATCTATTTAACCCCAAGTAAATTCTTTTGAACAGCTTTTCAGACACAATGGAAGAGCTCTAAAGATTTTGTTCCTTTGGTTCTAAACAAGGTGTTAAGATGTAGCCTATGCTACACTGGAACTCGTGATCCTCCTGCCTGAACTTTCGTCGTCGTCGTCTTCGTCTTCTTCTTCTTCTTCTTCTTCTTCTTCTTCTTCTTCTTCTTCTTCTTCTTCTTCTTCTTCTTCTTCTTCTTCTTCTTCTTCTTCTCCTCCTCCTCCTCTTCCTCCTCCCCCTCCTCCTCTTCTTCCCCCTCCTCCCTCCCCCCCACCTCCTCCTCCTCCTTCTCCTCCGTTTTTTGACACAGGGTTTCTCTGTGGCTTTGGAGGATGTCCTGGAACTAGCTCTTGTAGACCTGGCTGGTCTCGAACTCACAGAGATCCACCTCCCTCTGCCTCCCGAGTGCTGGGATTAAAGGCATGTGCCATACCGCCCGGCTGTACTGTACTTCTTTATTTTTATGTTTTTCTATATATCTAACCTTTTTTTTTGTGTGTGTGTGCCCAAACCAGAGGTACACACCTAAATTTGGTTTTTGTTTTTAGAAAAGTATTGGTAGTCTCTCATTTGTTTGATTGAAACACAGGTCCATCAAGGGAAGTTTAGACCATTGTGTTGCATCTAGATATAGAAGGATAATTTGAATATAATAGGTCTCTTTGGACAATAATTTTCATTTCCTTTATTTCTTATATGGTCACCCTAAAGACGTTCAACTAAAAGTGGAGGGTAATCATGAAACAAGGTCCATACCTATGAGATCCTAGTACTCGGGAAATAAGGTAAAGTCAGCAGCATCTGTGGTTGCTTAGGAGGTTCAATGCCAACCTGGGCTAGAAGAAACCTCATCTTAAAATAAAACACAAAATAAATATTGATAAAATGAGGAATTTAAAAAGCATGGCTGCCTTCATGACATTTTTCACACAGTAGGAAAGTTGCTTTTTATCTGAGTGCAACAAACATGGTGGCACCAATTTCTCTAAGAGTGGTTGTCTTTTAAAGTGGGGAATGTAGTTCAAGCTCATGAGTGGGTGCAGTGGCATGCTTGTTGCCTACTGTATTTGTCATTGTTCTTGGGATGTACTACTCTTCTCTGCTTTACTCCTAAACTCCTAAACTGTCCAATGCCTAGTCGTTCATTATGAGCATGGTGTGGCTGGTCCTTGCATCTGTCTCTCAAACACGAGTGACAAAGCAGCAATTCTGTGACTGCCTTGTGCTAGTGAGCATCTCATATATTGTTGGATTTCACATAAGCAGTTAGCAAGTTTGTGGGCAGGTCACTTAGACTTTTCTGTGTCCTGTTCGTAAGATTGAGGTTAATAGTTTTTATGTAACTCTAGGAGTTCTTGAGGCCAACATTTACGTATAATAAAAATTAGACAGCGGTATATGCCTTTTATCACAGCATTCAGGAGGCAAAGGCAGGTGGATTTCTGAGTTCCAGAAGAGCCTTAGCCTGGTCTACATGGTGAATTCCAGGTCAACTTGAATTATGCAGTGAGACTGTTTAAATTAGTCTAGGACAGTGCTACTCAAGGGTGGTGGGCCTTTGAACCAGCAATTTCAGATCATGTGGAGCTTGTGCAAAGTGCAGTGGATAGGTCCAGGGGCTGAGGCCTAGCAATGTTTAACAGGTCCTCCTAGGTTAGAGGATGTGAGTCAGTCTGGAAAGATGGTAGCTAGAATAGACTACAGAGAATTTTGTTCATGTGACTTGGCCTTAATGAAATAATGCAGTCTGCCCAAATTTTCCACAAGAGGGTGATGTTGGCAGGACCCAGGAAGTTCAGAATGAGAACTTTTTTGTCTAGCTTGTGCTCAATGTTCCCTGTTTGGCCCAACCAAAGCTTACTTTCTCCCTCATGACTCTCTTCCTGCCTTTTCTTTTCCAGCTTTATTTGCCACATGTGGAAGTCTGAAATCTGTTAGAATGTGTTTGTTTGTTTGTTCTAAAGGCAACTTTGGGTTTCTGTTTTTCTAAGAATATTACTAATTTTTAGCTGGGCATGGTGGTATATGCCAGCACTGGAGAGGCACAGGCAGGCAGAGCCTGGTGTACAAGGGAAGTTACAGGACATCCAGGGCTTTACACAGAGAACCTGGGGTGAGGTGGGGTGGGAAGAATATGATTAATTTAAAAAATGTGTGCTGTTTCAGTACTACATATGTTGAACTGAGAGTTTATTTCATTAAATAAAGATCCTCTGTGGATTTCAGTGAGAAGGCAGGATCTTTTGATTGAGGATTTTCTCAGTGCTGTGTAGTGCTTTTTATTTTTATTTTTAGATTTATTATGCATACAAAATTCTGCTTCCATATATGCCTGCACGCCAGAAGAGGGCATAATATCTCATTACAGATGGTTGTGAGCCACCATATGGTTGCTGGGAATTGAACTCAGGACCTCTGGAAGAATAGCCAGTGCTCTTAACCTCCGAGTCATCTCTCCAGCCCCTGTGTAGTACTTTTAACATAACTTGTTTGAAAGAAGTCTTTGAGCCCTTTTCTTACTTCTGAATCCTAGGTGTGTATTTGTTTTTCTTCCTCTTTCTG